GCCGTGCCCACCGGTAAGAGCCCAGCCTCCCTGGGCCTCAGCTTCCCTGTTGGAGACAGGGCTGCGGTGCCCCTTGCAGGGTCACCTAGAGGGTCAAGTTGGAGGCGCACTGCGGGGCAGGAGCTCGGTGCCCGGGCACCTCTGAGGCTGGTGCTAGTGATGCTGTTGAGGCCCCTGGCAGAGCCACCCTGTCCAGGAAGGCTAGCTGCCACTTCAGGGCCTCAAGATGAGGTCGACGCTCAGCCAGGGCCACTGTGTGTCCCCAGCAGCAGTACCAGAACGGGGACTCGGAGGAGAGCCACGCACAGTTCCTGAAGGCGCTGCAGAACGCCGTCAGCACCTTCGTTAACCGCATGAAGAGCAACCATGTGCGCGGCCGCAGCATCACCAACGACTCGGCCGTGCTGTCCCTCTTCCAGTCCATCAATGGCATGCACCCCCAGCTGCTGGAGCTGCTCAACCAGCTGGACGAGCGCCGGCGTACGTGCCTGGGCCCTCCGTCCCTGCCTCGCCGCACCCACTGTGCCCTGAGCGCCCTCTGGGCCAGCATGTGGGCACCTCCCGGTGGCTGTAGGCCATGGAAAGGTTCCTAGGCTGAGGCCGCCCCAGGGCTGCAGCTTCTCGGGTCAGTAGGTGGGCTGCGGGCTCTAGGTGGTCCCTGTGATGGGAAGTGTCCCACCAAGCACAAGAGAACCAGCTCCAGAAATCCCCCACCCAGCCCGTGCGCCAGCCGTGCCCTGTTCGCAAGCTCTTGGCTGAGCAGAGGCAGGTCCAGGGCCCCCACCAGGCACCCGCACTTCCGTGACCACCAAGGGCTCCCTGCTCTGCCCTCCCCTGCAGTGTACTACGAGGGGCTGCAGGACAAGCTGGCGCAGATCCGCGATGCCCGGGGCGCGCTGAATGCTCTGCGGGAGGAGCACCGGGAGAAGCTGCGCCGCGCGGCCGAGGAGGCGGAACGCCAGCGCCAGATCCAGCTGGCCCAGAAGCTGGAGATCATGCGGCAGAAGAAGCAGGTGCGGCGGCCCTGACCGCTGCCCCCGGGCCCGCGGCGGCCGACCACTGCCCCTGGGTCCGCAGTGTCCCTGACCGCTGCTCTGTGGCCTGCAGGAGTACCTGGAGGTGCAGAGGCAGCTGGCCATCCAGCGCCTGCAGGAGCAGGAAAAGGAGCGGCAGATGCGCCTGGAGCAGCAGAAGCAGACCATCCAGATGCGCGCCCAGATGCCCGCCTTCTCCCTGCCCTACGCCCAGGCACGCGCCCACCGCTCTCGCCACTCCCACTGGGCTGCAGGCCACTGGGAGCCACCCTGACAGCTGTCTTTTTTTGTCCCCAGCTCCAGACCATGCCCGCAGCGGGCGGGGTGCTGTACCAGCCCTCTGGCCCTACCAGCTTTCCGGGGACCTTCAGCCCGGCAGGCTCGGCGGAGGGCTCCCCCATGCACACTGTGTACCTGAGCCAGCCAGCCGCGGGCGGCAGCGGCCCCTACCCCAGCGTGCCGGGGGCCGGAGCAGGTAATGGGCAGGTGGAGGTGCCGACCCGCCCGGCGGAGCCCCAGACCATCACCCGCGTGTCTCATTTTTTATTTTGGCATAGCGTCGGCTTTACAGAAAAGTTAAGAGAAGGGGTAGAAAGCGTTCAGATTCCCCGGTGGTAACGTTTTACCGCATTTGCTTCTCTGCACGCGCATGCGCACACTCTTCCTGCCCATCGCAGCGTGAGCGGCAGGCGGGCACCCGTTCCTCCGAGGCTTCAGCACAAACCCATTCCCCCAGGGCCCAGGCAGAAGCATGCTGGGACCTCACCCACGCCACTCAGCTCTCGGGTTGTCCCAGCAGCACCCTCGGTGCCTTAAGGCAGCTTGTCACATGTGTTATATTCAGCTGTCCTCTTCAGTCTCCCCGTCCCCTGCAGTGGCGTTGTTCACTCACTGAGAATACAGCTGGGTTCATTTCTTCTGATTTCGTTCAATTTTAGGGAGTCTCTACCATTCTTTTCATTTACTTTCGTCTTGTGAGAATGCAAAACAGGAATTTGGTTTCAAAAGTTACAACAGAAAAGAAAACTCAGAGAAGCGACTTCCTGTCCTCATCCCCGCGTCACAAGCTTACCCTTTTCCTCCACAGATCCCAGCATGGTGAGCGCCTACATGTACCCAGCAGGGACCACTGGTGCCCAGGCAGCCCCCCAGGGCCCAGCAGGGGCCAGCACCAGCCCAGCCTACTCTTCCTACCAGCCCACGCCTGCCCAGGGCTACCAGGTAGTGGGGGGTGGGGCCGCTCCCCTTCCGCAAGGTCCCCGTGAGGACGCCCAGCCCAGCCCCCGTGTCACACCTTTCTGTCTGCAGAGCGTGGCCTCCCAGGCCCCGCAGAGCCTCCCGGCCATTTCGCAGCCGCCACAGCCCAGCACCATGGGCTACATGGGGAGCCCAGCGGTCATGGGCTACCAGCCCTATGGCGTGCAGGTAAGAACATGTGGGACACCCCAACAGTGGGCTGGGGGCGCTGGGCAGGCTCAGCCCTTCCAGCCCCTCGCTTCCCCCGCATGGGGCTCTGCTAGCTGGCTTTCCACGTCAGAAACTCCGTCATCTCTGTGGTGACAGCGTCCTTAATGGCGAGGTCCCTTCCATTTCCACAGAATCTCATGACCACCCTCCCCAGCCAGGATGCGCCTCTGCCGCCCCCACAGCCCCCCTACATCTCAGGGCAGCAGCCTGTGTACCAGCAGGTGAGCCTTCCCCAGCGCCCCTGCGGGGACCCCGCCCTCACCGGGGAAGGGGCGGGCGGTGGGGGCCCAGACTGCTGCTCGGCAGACGGAACCGGGGCATGCACACGCTCAGCTGTAGACAGCCGAGAACTCCCGGGGTTGGCCTGCCCCAGCAGGGCAGGAAGCCGACAGGGAGCCCACCCCAGGCTGAGGGAGGCCTCCCTCGGCAGCCCGGGTGAGACAGGACTGAGTACCAGGCACCAGGATGAGATGGAGTGTTCCAGAGAAGCAGCTTGAGGGTGGGAAGCTCCGGCCTGGGGAAGGAGTACTGATGGCCCGTGTGTCCCCTCCCCAGATGGCGCCCTCTGGTGGTCCTCCCCAGCAGCAGCCGCCTGTGGCCCAGCAGCCGCCAGTACAGGGGCCACCAGCGCAGGGCAGTGAGGCCCAGCTCATCTCCTTCGACTGAGCCCAGGCTGCTCGCTGCCCCGAGTAACAAACACTACGCTCCTCTGGCACCGCTGCTGCCTCCGTCTCTACCCGGCGCTGTCCTCCTCTTCCTTGCCCTCCTCTTGCTGCCGTGGTGTGTCCCTGTCCGTGCGAGCAGAGTGGCCCTCTTCCCTTTGTCCTCGCCTGCTGGCTCCTCGCCCCCCA